TGCTTTCCTCGTAAATTCGAACGAGCACAATTTTAGTGCAGTGTCAGATTGGTTTGTGCGTCACAAGTTGTTGGGTTAAAGAGAAACGAGTTGGCTGCAGACATTGTATGGTGAATGGACTGGCTGGTTTAGCAAACGACTGAGATTCTTTGTGAGCTATAAATTGCGTAGTTTCTAAGGTGGCATTGTCGTCTCATAATTCTTTATTTTGGGATTTGATGTTCTGTTGACTCTAATGACTGGTCGTCTGCTGCGTAACAAGAAATGTAGCATTTTCTCCGTACATTAATAGGTTTTTTTTGTTAAATTTTCGATTGTTACTAAATCGTTACTGCCATTCATATCACGAATCCAGTAGGTTTTTAATTGGTTGATCACAGTACTATCAATAAAAGTTGGTTTTGTTATGGAACTTTACGAGCTTTGGTGTTGCTGTGTTATGCTCACCGTGATCCCGTTATTGGCTGGTGTTTCGTATGACAATTTTTTCAAGTCTCCACTGATCTGTTACTGGTAAAATGCCTTTGTCTGTGTTTCTACACAAGGTGAAAGATTGAACGATTAATTCTTCAAATAATTATCATTTCCATTTGAGAGACAGGATTCTGGCAGCAATGTACTAATTTGTGATTCCAGTGGTGCGCCTTAGCATGCCACTGGAGAACGATTTTAACTAGGTTGCGAGACCACGTCGAATCCAGTCAAAAATCGATATCCTTGTGGCCTACGGAAGCGCTCACGGAAAATCTACTCAAGTCGGCCCCGTAATAATCTATTCCAGTCGTCCAAGCGTTTAAGTCACAGATCCCGAAAATTGATCTGGGGGCATGTGTTGAGCCCTTGCTTACAGTGCCTTCAGGTACCAACCAATTTTTAGTTGATCGTCCATACACCGCATATAATGCAATACGGAGTCTTCCTATCATTTGTTTGTGGTGTCAAAGACCACATTGAATTCGGCAAAGGCAATTAGTAGCATCTTATCACCCGCGTCGGTCTTATAAATGGGTGTGATGGTTACTTTGGGGGGAGTGTGCTCATAGTTTTTGTTATTTGCCTTGCGTGGCCTTGATTCCTACCTGATTCATCTCAATGACTAATTTTAATCGATTATGTGGAAAATGGCCTTTGGCTACTACATAGCGCGATCCTGCGTTTTCGATTTGAATACGCCCCTCTTGTGTGACAAAACAAGGCAAGCTACATCTGATTTCAAGTTCTTCCCAATGAAGACATCAGTGCCGGGATTTGGAAGCTGCAAAATCAATCCCGCAATGATTAGTGGACCGAATAAAGTAAAACGCGGAAGGTGGTGAAGGTGACTGGAACCCATGGCTCCGTGCGTCATAATTTTCATGTCCACTGTGACGCGTACTGAACACTTCTCGGAGGACGTGGATGCACTAATCTATTTCCATACGATGACGATGCCTGTGGATAAAGAAATCGGGAATTGCACCAGTCGCCAAGTCTTTAAAAAGGAGCCAGATTTTCGGGTCAAACAAAATTTGTTTAAATCACGTTTGCAGAAGTCCTCTAAGATCTCCCAGGGGCTTAATTTGACCTCATAATCTGTACTTTAGTGTTGGGCCAGTAAACAACCTGGCACGTAGACTGCAAACAAACTAAACCAAGGTAATGATGCAAAAAGAACACAGAAATTAGGCAACCTTGTGGCATTGTATTCATGCCTTATACAGGGCCTTAAATGACAATATGGAGACGCCAAGTTTCATCAGGAGTATAACACCGAGAACTATGGTAACACTGCAAATGATGGTTTCGCTTGTTAGCACTTCGTAATATGTTTGAAGGCCCGATGTGAGATTTGTAGTTTGAGTAATATCATCACCTGGGCTCAGCATTGATCGCTGTGGCGACAAGGTAAATTCGAAGAAATCTCCACACAAGTGGGCTCTTGTTGGAGCCCTGCTTGTTGTCCCTTCGACTCTCCCCCCTCTCTCTCACTAGAAATGATCCAATTCCGCAACTAGTCGCATTAAGATCTGGGTTTAGTCAATGTGGCTGCCGCCTTCCCTTACCTCCCTGTTCGGGAAGCGTTTGGTGCATGCATTCCCCCTTTAGGCTTACAGGATGGAAAGGACAGGCTACTCAAAATATATCGAAGATCATTGTTTTTGACCACCCTCTGTACAAAACTCATTTGCTGATGAAGCAGTAGGGGATTTAACAGAGAAATATTTGCACTCCCTGCCACTGATAAGGCGGAGGCCGGCGTTCGTTAATGAAGGGACAAAATCCGACTACTCAACTTGGTCCCTTTGCAGTAGGTCACATCGACGAACCTGTCTATCGACAACCGCAAATGGTTGAGCATAGGTGATATTTGAATTTGGTTACTTAACACGATTTATTTTCGTCAATTGTGCTTTCACCTGTATCAGGGAGAACCTGGTGGAAAAATTTAAAGGCTAACCTCAAGTAATCAGCATGTCACATGTCTGCGCAGCAGCTTTTAAAGCAGTCCTTAGCTGTACATATTCCCATCCCGTTATCACCCTCCCGTTAGTCTCTCTGTTTTTCAAAGGCGGCCCCTTGTGCCAGAACCTCGGGTCAAATTGCACAAGTCGTCATGGCTACCGCTAATGATGCATGGCCGTGTCATACCCCTACTTTTCATCCATTAAGCAAGCGAATGCGTAACCAGCTATGCAAGTGGCGGAATACAACGAGCCAATCAAACGCTTCCTATGATGTTCTACTGCATAGGCATTGGACAATATGAAGTGAACCAATAGTAATAGGAAGTAGACAGATTATAAATTGAAGTTTGCGTCGCACGTGTCAAGTGTATTTTCTGTGTGCGTGGAGAATGTCGATTGAGCCGAAGAGGGATAACCGTGACCTCTCAACTCGTAGGCGCAGTCTCATCGATTGGCCTTTCCCGCAGATGGGTCTGATGCCATTCGACCAAGTCTTCGACTGGGTAGAGAGGTCACGCCAAAACCTTCACGAAGATATAATGAATATGCACAGGAACCTGTTTTCTCTTGAGGTGAGTTTGCGGCTATGGACGCAGGTGCACTTCGTAGCGAGTTTTTGTTATCTGTGCTCCGTGTTTTTCAAGCCCTTCCGAGCGGTGGACCAGGCCATGGACGAGGTGATGGAGAAGATGAGTGCCATCCAGCCACGCGAGTTTCACCCGGAGCTCGAGTTCACTAGTCCCGGTGAGCTGGACTTTCTCAAAAATGCTTACGAAGTTGGCAAGGATGGTAAGGTAAGTGGCTCATCTCTCTTTTTCCCTTTTGCACTCATGAAGTTACCAGGTCATCTTGTTTCTCTAGTTACACTTCAAGGTGTACTTCAATGCCAAGAACTTCAAGCCCGAGGAGATCAGCATCAAGACGGATAAGAACAAGCTGATAGTTCAAGCACAAAAGTCGGAATCACGCGGAGATGCCGAGATGTCGAAGTGTGTGGGTCGTTCCATACCTCTCCCGCCTTCTGTCGACAGAAAGCACATCCAGGCCACTCTCACGTCGGTACGTTGTGATTGGTTGTTTGGTCTTATTGCTTTTTCCAAATAGGATGACGTTTTGGTCGTGGAGGCGCCTGTTGACGATCCGAACTACAAAGCCATCAAGATATGTCCGCAGAAGGGTCTTGCAATTCAACCATCGGACTCTTCTGACAGGCAACTTGCAGTGAAAAGTAGGCAGATTGGTGTGTTTGTAACACGAGCGTTTAGATAAGGAGGGTGTGGAGATAGTGTCTGCGGAAGATGGATCGAAGAAGATGCATTTAGAACTGAAGATTGATAATCATTTCCAACCAAAGGACGTGAAGATTTGGTCAAAGGGCAACAAGATCTACGTGCATGGAGAGTCAAAGGTGGATGAGAAGACGGACACTGGCTCACACATGGAGCACCGCGAGTTCTACAAGGCTTTTGTCACTCCTGAAGTGATAGATGCTAGCAAGGCGCAAGCTGAAATGAACGAGGGTCACCTCGTGGTTGAGGCTCCCTTGTTCAAGTTAAAGTAATGTGAAATTCCTGCTAAAATACGTGTTTTTTTCCGTTACAATAAATCTTATTAAACATTGTTTTTAGTGGTTTTTTAAGCGGTGGGTTGCGGCTTGTGTGGGGGTCGGTAGATATCCAGCGTGCTTGTCGTAGGTACGATATTTGGGGATCTGCCCACTTGTGGTCTGCCCCGCATTTGACTGTCAACGGTGAAGCGTCACGAACATGTCATGTAGATCCGGTCTGTTTTCTGTGTCACAATTTCGTGCGCGTGTGCTTACATGGGAGTGGCCCGTCTCGACGTCTGCCTTGCATGATGGGGTGCCGTGCCGCAATTTGTCGGCGTGTTGTACCCTTTTGCTTATCGTGGGAGTGGGAGTCGGAGCTACCGCCGCTGAGAGTCCTACCAAGGTAGCGGAATATCTTCGATACTTTGTAGGTTATTGCTGCCGTAAGGACGTGATTGTTAGGTGTGCGGTAATATTACCATAGATGAACGCATGACACCGATATGCGATTAAACATGGCGGCGTGATGCGCACTCACGGTGTTCGGTTGGATCCGTGCTCGCTCAGGCTTGCTGAAAATATCCACTCGCTGATAGTTTCGCAGTCGTACACCGCTGGTTGGGATGTCACTTATATGGCCTTGCGAATGCTAACACAAAATTTCAACTTTCTAGTCGGGCCTTAACTGGGACCTGGTTGCGTGTTATCGCGCTCAATCTCGCAACCTTTACACATGATTGAGCCAACAATCTGGAATGCCAATGGATAATTACGAACCACTCCGTCATTGCCTGTCAGCAGCTGACTTCAAAAAAGCTGCGATGGTAAGATCTGCGAACGTCATTTGTTGTCTCCTAACACCAACTCACACATTAACCCTTCGCTGTGGAGTCGCTGCTTTGCCCACATTACTTTTTCCTATGATTTCGGGCGACGATTCACGCACAACTCCGCCTGGTGGTTGAACAAATCGATGCGCTTTCACCGCTCCCGGTGGCATCGTGTGTGGGCTGATGCCACAACCAACTGCAAGCTCCAACGAAGAATCATGTTCGAACGATTTTTATTTTGATTATACCTTCATGGGATCGTTGCAACAGCCACCAGATGTCTGTGCTGCAATCATGTTACTGCTGCAGGCAGTCGGTCAATCTCGTTGCAGCAAATGTTTTAAAAAAGATAATTTGAGCCCCTACTATTTACAACCGAAAATTTATTGATAATGTGTGTGTGCTTAGATTCTCCAAATCAGCTGCATCAGCCTCTCCTTACACCTTTGAAGTAGGTTAAAGTCAACTCGCATGAGAATTTTGGTTTATTGATGACTTTCAGACTTTCCTTATAAGTGTAGAAATGTGGGACATTGAGAAATGGTTGCATATCTTAATGCCCCACGGAGTAAGCACCATGTTCCGCAAAGTGTGGTAGTTTTTCACATAGAAGTCTGTTTGGTCACTTATTTATTGGGGAAGCCCGAATTCCTCACGACAGTTTTCCGCCAATCAGGATCCGTCATTATTTACGGACCTTCACATAATCACGCCAATTCGGTTGGTCACCCAGAAGCTACCACCACTGGCAGCTCCATCTGGGTTAGTCCTTCAGGTCATGCGTTATGACACTTCACTCGGCCTATGCCTGAGGAAGTGAACGCTTTTACCACAAGGTGATGTCTGGGGAGGTGGGGCCTGCTCTAGTCAACGGAATTTGGGCGTTGATTCTCTGAGCGTGTTTTATCTCACGGACATAAATGTAATTGGATTGCAGACAGCACCGTTGCCGGTGCTAGGTTTAGATGTTAATCGCGCAAGACGTTATAATTGACAATTGTGCCGTTCATTTAGCAGGGTTTGTGGTTGCTACGAGGTCATCTCTTAAGTACTCAAGGGCTAGCCAACTTATTTCAAATCACGAAGTAACTTGGTCTTTAATTTTCCTGTTAGGTAGTCTTCATGACGCCATAGAAATGATTCTCATTATGGATAAACGACCATCCTAAACTGCAAATGAGCATATGTATCTTCAACGCCAAACTATCTTAGGTCTTCATGTTAAAGCGTGCAGCGGTTCCAGAGACCACTAGAACGTGCCTTCGGTCGAGGTACCAAGTCACGTTTCTTGCGTTTATAAAATACAACACAGGCCTTAACACATGGGCGTTCCTCTTTTGCCCTATGTCACGAAATTGAATGAGTGTTATGCTATTAATCCGAAACATGCACCTGTGCATTTATCGCACGGACTACGTACCCATTTCGACGGCAGCCATCGATTTTGGAGTGCATCAATGTACACATCATGCGCACACCGCTCTGCCATCGTTTACATGCATGTGCACTTACGCGAACAGCACACGGTTTGATCTAGTGTGTAATAGGTTGATTTGGGAGTCTGTTGCAGCCCTAGTGTGGTCTCAGAACCACACTGGAGCCAATCGCCTAAAGGTGACGAGGTCCGACCAACAGCGAGAGGAAACGTAGATAACGCGCAGCTGGACTGATTTGTTAATACGGTAATAGCGTGGTTATGCTAAGTAATATGTCGTCGGTATATATAAGATCGGTTAAAATTGATCTCTGAACGAGCATAGCTACGTGAAGTGCATTCAGTTAAATAGACTGATTCGTGTTCGCTCACGCTTGCTGATCGCGACACGTCTAGTAAACATTTCTCTGAGGGGATAGGATCGTGGAGTTGAGGGACATAGCCATGGATCGAATTGTGCGCGCAATCTCTCATCCAATCGCAGGCGAATCTACTTCAATGTGCCAATTTTCGCATGTTGCCTCAGATGCAATCGATGCCAGCAAATAATGACGTGACAAGAGATCAAGGAAGGCCTCAGATGGAAAATCCTTCAAAGCAAAAAGACAGTTTATTAAGCAGTAAGATATGCAGGAATGTCAATGAGTTTAAAGGGAAGTTGCTAACTCCCATTCCAGCAATGCCCTCTGAATGGTCGGTCTAGATTTCCTTCAAGTTTGACTCATTGGCAAGTGCATCCTCAGTTTAAGATAAAGACATGACAGAAAAACCCAACAGCCATAACGGACCAATGTGAGGTGGCCTGGGTGGATTTTCTGTCAATAGAAGCAGTATGGGTTAAGCAAAGATTTCTGGTGCTGCGCCACCTCCACTAGCCGTGGAACCTGTGGTTACAAGGCTATTTTTTCCCAATGCAGATTCTTATTGAAGCATATTTTGAAGCTCACTTAGAAGAACAAGGCTATGTTCTTGCAATGGCCAGAGGCAAGAATCGAAGAGGAAAAAAACATTTCGACTTGCTCACGTGGCATGCATTTTTGAGGAAATCAAGCTTCCTAAGATGGTAAACTCAGGCTACGAGGTGAAATCCAGATACTGGAACTTACTCATCTACATATAAACCTTGTTGATGTCTAGTTTTCTGTCTTGGTAAACGTTACAAGTTAGTAGCATAAAATTAGATGGGCTTTTATAGTCATGGGAAACATATCTCGGCATTCATGATACAACCGCAAAAACCAAGGCATGATCAATCCATCATTTGAAAGATTGGTCTCAAAGCGGCAAAGCCATTGGCCGGAAAGACCGCTCAATGAGGCTACGCCCCAGCATGCAAAACTCCAACCATTAGCTGTCAGAACAAACACAACTTCTCTCGTAAAAAGTGCACAAATCATTGACCATCCAGTTGTAGAACGGGATTCCTGTGTTCTTATTGACCGATTTTCATCATCCAATAAGTCGAGGCCGCAGAGCCTAGTTTATGGAAAAGATGGCGTTCAAGGCCATCGTGTTTACAAGTTCCTGATTGGCCCCAAGTTCGGAACTCACACATGCTGTTTACCAGGCCTAGACAATGCAAATTTACAGTTCTTGTACTGCTCATCAATGAATTGTTTATAAATAATCTGCCTTAACGTTGGTGTCTTAATATTTTATTTAAAAATAACCATGTTGTGAGTGCAATTACTAAGTACACTAGCAGTAACACTGTTATTTGCACAAAAGACAAACTACCTTTGTTTAATTGTTCAAGTTGACACACAAAGTACGAGACTAACTGCACGCGTATTGAAAGTTGAAACAGCACCACGAGGTACCGGTAAGTCTTGAAGGAGACTTGTTATTCCCACATATTTATTAGCTGTTGAACGCTGATCTTGCTTGAGACGTGAACATGTGCATGGGCGAATTACACTAAAGTTGGCATTTCAGCCTCTATCAACGCAACCTAAGAAGCCGAAACCACTTTCCGTCGGACTGAGCACACACTATGTACACACTTTAAGAATTGGATTCCCGCGTTCTTATTTGCCGATTTTTCAACACCCAAAAACTCGAGGCCGCACGTACGCTCTAGACCCCGTTTCTGGAAATGCTTGCGCTCAAGGCCATCCTGTTTACAAATTCCTGATTGGCTCTATGTTCAGAATTCACGCATCGTGTTTACCAGGCACTGACAATGCAAGTTTCCGATGGTTGTACTGCTCACTAATGGATCTTGTGTCCTAACATTGACGTCTTATTGGTTTCATTAAAAATAACCGTGTTATTATGGCAATTATTAATTGCACTACCAATAACACCGGAAAGTTCTCGTTTGGACTCCTGGTTGTCTCAATGACGATGAAGACAGCGAAGAAGTATAGGTGATGGTTTAGTAGATTAGTGTCCACTCAGGTGCAATTTTTGGAATTTCGCATGTATTTAAGTTCAGGTTTCTATGTAGGGGTTGTGGGGCATACATGTGTGCAGTAATTGAGGAGAAAGTGGGCACCATAAAACAAACCCAGGCACACAGAACGTATGTTTAATATACCACAGTAAACTAGGAAAGGGTAGTATAGTAGGAAAAATCAGCGAGTGGCGGATGTGAACAGAAAGGGAATGATTCGACTGGCACAATCGAAAATGTGCATAATCTTGATAAGGGTGGATTCAGTGTGAGCAATCTGTCAGGATTTTATGGCCAAGAGAATGTGCAGGTGGGAAAAAATTGTGAAACTCTTGAATTCTCGCGATGAGGTGTTTGCGAGTGCTGGGTTTCGTAATTCTGAAAACGTAAAAAATTGCTTGAATATATCGCGACTTTGGCGTAATTCCAGGCCATTTGACTAAGTCGCAGTGGTCGATTTTAGATCGATACCTGGAACTGAAAAATGACGTTTTGTCGTTTTCCTACTGCTAAAATCACAGTCCCTTACTTGGTAGTTGACGATTAGTTATAAACTTCACCACCCAAAGCATTCGACAGATCTACCACCAGATATCCTCAGGAAATTTCTGTTGGCGAAAATAGCACCCAATTTGTTACGTAAATATAATCTACGGGTACACTTCGACTACCTGTAACAAAGTGGTTCGACGGGGTCCGAGTACCCACAACTGCAGGGTTTCGGAAGACGATTTTAATGTTGGCTGCGAGACACAGGCAGCTCACGAAAATCACTTTAGTTAGTCATTCAAGAGGACTGGGTGTCTTAAAGGTCGGCCAAACGTGAGGCTGAGTAAGGTGGGGATACGGTAGAGTGACTGGTGATTTCGCAGTTATCATCCATGTAACCCATTCTGAGACGGTCTACGCTCACTGCGTCCAGTGTTCCATTTCTGTCAATTTTCACACAACCTTAAAGGGGCCATCCTAAGGTGCTTGTAAAGGCCTCTTGTCGCTATGGGCGCGAACTAAGACGTGAGGGGAAGTGAACAAACGTGGCTGGATAAGCGCTCGTCGTGAGGTAATTCTTCCTCCAGTCGGTCGGTAAGTGAACACCTAGTACTTTTGCCCATGAATAACTCTGTCCTACATCAACTTGGAGACTAACCTGAGGAATATCAACCACAGAAAAACAGGACTGAAAGTCACATTGGACCCAAATTTAAGATGAGTAACTTGCGGCCATACCTCTCAATGGTTCGCGACTTGAAGTTATAGACCGAAAGCTTTGAGGTGGCGTGTGTCCGGTCCTGGCGAAATCGCACTAACCTCGGTACAAGTGTTAATAATAAAAAATTAGATCTCTGATTGAATTAGTGACTTGAAAGAATAGACTAGATTGAATGCCTGAGCAAGTCCTAACTTTAATTGGTTAGCGTTCTTATCTCTCGAATGCAAATTAGGCAGATTGAAGGACTGGGGGTTAATGCACAGGTATTGGTAGGCGCGAGCCCTTTCCTCATAACAATAGCGATGCTGGAAAAAGGCCAAATCGATTCCTATATTGATCTAGTTAGATATCGAAAAGTATGTAATGAAGACGCACCCCATTTGAGCTGATAGTTGGTGTGAGAACAGGGGACATATTATTTGCACACAGGTTCTAGAAAAGAACTGGATTAAGCAAGTTTTTGGCATTGGCAGCAGCCTCTGTCGGTAACAAATAACAACATGTAAATTCATGGAGAATAGAGTGGCAGTCTTCAGATTGCGAAATTGAGTCTCTAAACGCACATGTCGTCCTCAAACTATTTGGAAAGTTAACGGGTAAGCTAAAATCCGAATAGGAGTTCACAGCCATACGATGATTCATTGTTCAGTGAAAGTATGGATTTAATAAATTCGAACAAAACGTCGAGTGTGCATGCAGTACCTTACAATCCAGCCACTTAACAACCAATAACAGCCAGAGATCAAAGAAAATAGAGGCAACAGCCAGCCACGTGTGGTTGAGCGTATTTGTGCAGCGCTCGTGTACGGCGTCCAAAGGACGGTAAGGGTGCGCGTAACATATTAATCAACCCGATTGGAATGCACCAAAGGCTAATACTACGGAGAAGTTAGTGTGAATATGAAAATTGACCTATATAAATACAAAAATGCATAGACTTGTTAATTTCACGAACGAAATTTTATTAGGAAATGCTTGCTCGTCGAAACCTTTCTTGAATCCTTGATGTGCTGCAGTTTCATTAATATATTGCTTATTGGAGTGAAAAGTTGGACCAATAGAAATGTTGATGCCAATAACGAAATCCGATTTAAAAAGGATTTAGATGATTTCATTAATATGGAATTACTTGGTTGTGGATAATGACACTAGCGATGCTGACACACGAAGATCTTAAAGGACTTCACCACATAATGCATTTTGCAAAGAAATTCTACGACACTCGGCCATTGCATTATTCTAACTTAGTATGAACAATTTCTAAACTTTCCTGTACATAGCGAAATTGTGACATAAGAAGACATATTCCTAATAAAGAGCACATTTGATTAACTAAAATAGCACAATTAAATCTGAAAATTTGATTTTGATTGCATATCTTTGTAATTTCAGCGTATGTAGATTAGCGGAGAACACTCACATGTTCAACTTTATACTTCATTCAAAGACATCAACAAAACCGGAAATCGAGCAATTAAGCTGAATTATACCAAGGTATTAGACAAAATTGATGCATTCCTGGAGAGATCCCGTACACAGTACTAATATTTCATTATAAGGGGCATTTGTGTGATGAGTGATTATTTTAACGCGCCTAACGAGATGGGACCTAAATAGGTTGATAACTGCTAGCCCTACCCTCTTAGATAGCCACACCATCAGGGTTAGCTACCAGGCTTACGATAGAAGAACAGCAGGAAGAACCGGATGTATTCCAGATTACCGCATACAAACTCATAGGGTCATGGCTTAGGGAGATTTAGATCTGGAGGAGGAAAGGGATGGCCGTGAGGAGGGTCGGCTCGCCCTCAGATTCACGGGCGTGTCTTGAGAAAGGCGAGATTGCGGGAGGGAAGAGGAGAACAAATAACAGGACAGACCGGCGTGCGTGAGTTGAATGATGCGGGTTACACTACCAGCATCACGCGAGCAACAGATATTCAAATTAAAAGTGAATTAACAAAGAAATCCTGCCTTTATCGTGATAGATATTTACTTGCAAAAACAAACAACAGTCGTACTCCACAATTAAAAAACAATAGAACTCCATGGATTAAATTGCTTTGTATTTACAGATTATTGAATAGGTAACAAACTGTCGTTAGTAAGGGGTTAAAAGGCTAAATAGTCGTAAAATTTATGCGTTTAATAAGAATAGAGTGCCCTGGTATAGCTGGACATCCATGTTGAAAATGTAATAGGGCTAGTGAGAATCATGAGAGTAGATGTTAATATAAATAGACTGAATGGTCAGAATGGGCACAGAGATAATGAGAAAAATAATCAGGCGAATTAAAACATATACATTAATTTTACCAATGATCCCTCACTGATAGCTAGTTTGACATTAAAATAACGAAAAACGTCATTCTAAAATGAGATAGCACTAATAGAAGTCCAAAGTACATTGTATGAAACATGAAAGTCTCTAAAAACGACTGAATTGTAGAAAATCCCAAAATTTAGCACTTGATTTACAGCATTCGTTAAGTAGTTACTATGCAAGCTTAATCGACGACTAATAGTTGTTGTCAGTGTGAGTTTGGCGAGGAATAGTCTTCAAATTATTAACCTAAAAGGTCACTGCATTTACACGTCATGGGGAAAATACGTCATTACCTTTGAGTAAGCTTACTCGGTAGGTATTTAACAATACATGTCTGCTTAGTTTTAGGAGAGATAAAGAAACGATATTTCGTTGGGAAGGACCACACAAAGAACTATTTTACACAGAACTGTGCATTAAAAAAATCTCATTAGAGTGAGTAATTGTTACTAAAGTATTACATTTCCGCAAATTGGCTAAGATCTGAAGAATGTCTACGAAGTCTTAGACAAAGGCTATTTCACCTCCTAGGTATGATGTACAGAGCAATCATGATATCTAAATGCATCCAAGGTGTCATTGAAAAAAGGAAAATCAATGGGAATCAGTGGAAATACAAGTGTAGGAATGGCTCAAAGTAACAAGTAAATAGGATTAATTTTAATGCATGTGAAAATCCAATTCAAGTGTATATTTCTAAACACCACAAGCAGTAAAAAGTTAAATTAAATTTAATTAAATTAAAAATTGGGTTTATTTATGATGTCTTTATATTTTAAGATTGGAACTTTTAATTATTCAGATTTGTTTATCAAAGCCAATTTTACACTTTTCCAAATGGCCCAATCAACTTGAAGCAGCCTTTCCATTATACAAGTCGTAGCGAATATTGCGGCGCGTTTCTAGATATGTCTGTAAGTGATCTAATTGTTTGAACCTAACAACAAAGGACGCCTCTTCACCTCAGCGGCAGGCTCGCCCTAATGAGGACGGTTCTGATATCGATGACCAACCGTTCGAGGATGAATCTGCCGCAATCTTAGGCGATGAAGAAGTACAAGAAGAAAGTGAAGGTGAAGACCTATTTCGCGATGATATGGAACGCGACTACCGGTAATGATGTGTTTTCATTTTATATACTTGTAGGCCCATACCAGAGCTTGATGTTTATGAGCCAGAAGGCCTAGCCAGTACCGAGGACTTTTCAAGTATGTCTCCAACGGCTCGAGCGGAAGCGGAACGTGAGATGCGACAGCGAGACCGCGCTGAGGCTTTGGCAACGGGTGGTCTAAGACGTGGACTTGTCGCTGGTAATATATGAAGTTGTGATATTCTTACGCTTACAGATTTATATGGTGATGAAGAGGAAGATGAAGTTCCCCTCAGACGCCGGAGACTAGCTGAGCGTGTGGCTGCTGGGTTGGATGGTGAGGGTTCTGGTGACCTCGCCGAGGCCCTAGAAAGTATTGAGAACCTTGAAGACATGCATGGCATGACCATTAATGAGTGGGTTCAGCAACCTGCCACACGCCAGGAAATAAAAAATCGCTTTAAGTCATTTCTCCGAACATTCTTAGACGAAAGTGGTATTAACGTTTATGCCGAGCGTATTGTTCAGATGGCTCGTGAGAATAGACAAAGTCTTTCCGTCGATTACCAGCATTTAGCCGCAGCTGAGCAAGTCCTCGCTTATTTTCTACCAGAGGCTCCTTTCCACGTTCTCGAAATCTTTAATGAAGGTGCATTGGAGATAACCCTTGCAAGGTATCCTCGGTACGACAGGATAAGTAGTCATGTTAACGTGCGCATTGTTGATCTACCGTTGATTGAGGATTTGAGGAGCCTACGCCATCTGCATTTGAACCAACTGGTACGCACTGGAGGAGTCGTAACAAGTTCAACAAGCGTCATGCCACAGTTGAGCTTGGTTAAGTACAACTGTATGAAGTGCTCCTGTGTTTTGGGGCCATTCGTCCAAAGTCAAACCTCAGGGGAGTTTAGGCCCTCCACGTGTCCAGACTGCCAATCTAGTGGACCATTTGAGATTAATGTTGAACAGGTAAACTTATAGTTCATAACAAAACTTTTTAGACTGTTTACAAGAACTACCAAAGAATAACCATCCAGGAAAGCCCTGGAAAGGTCCCTCCTGGACGCCTTCCACGGTCAAAAGATGCCATTCTGCTCGATGACTTAGTTGACAGCTGTAAACCTGGTGATGAGATCGTGAGATCGTTTTACAAGCTAACCTTACTTCTAGGAGCTTACTGGCATATACACTAATAGCTATAGTGGATCCCTTAATATCCAAACAGGGTTTCCTGTATTTTCAACGGTCATACACGCAAATAATATTATTCGCAAAGAAGATAAACTTGTTCTCGGAAGTCTTACTGACGAAGACGTTAAAACAATTGTAAAGTTGTCTCGTGACGAGCGCATTTCCGAACGCATTTTTGCTAGTATCGCCCCAAGCATTTACGGTCACGAAGATATAAAGCGTGGCATTGCACTTGCCCTGTTTGGCGGTGAACCTAAAAACCCCGGGGAGAAACACAAGATTCGAGGTGACATCAACGTTCTACTTTGTGGTGATCCAGGAACCGCCAAGTCACAGTTCTTAAAATATGTGGAGCAAATTGCACCGCGTTGCGTTTTTACCACGGGTCAAGGTGCTAGTGCCGTAGGCCTGACTGCCTATGTAACCCGTAACCCCATGACGAAGGAGTGGACTCTCGAAGCCGGCGCCTTGGTGCTTTCTGACAAAGGCGTGTGTCTAATAGACGAATTCGACAAGGTGGGTCCGTCTATTTCCTTTATTTTTCCCAACGTACTGGCTTCCTGTGATTCGTAACTTTATCTTTTTAGATGAACGACCAGGACAGGACTTCAATCCACGAGGCTATGGAACAGCAGAGTATCTCGATTAGCAAAGCTGGAATTGTTACGAGTCTTCAGGCGCGTTGCTCAGTGATTGCAGCGGCTAACCCTATTGGAGGTCGCTACGATCCAAGTTTAACTTTTGCAGACAACGTCGATTTAAGTGAACCAATCCTTAGTCGATTCGACGTGCTTTGTGTTGTACGTGATACCGTCGATTCGGTACAGGATGAAATGTTAGCGAGGTTCGTGGTTGGAAGCCACATGCGGCATCATCCGAACTTGAGCGTTGAGGAAAAAGAACAACTGGTTGAACAGCTCTCCAATTTGGGGGCAACCACTGCAAGCGGGGACGCGAACTCGTGTGACCGGCAGCCACTACCACAGGTTCGTAGTAACTTCCTTAGGCACCTGCGTAGATCCCTTGTTGTTTGTCTTTCGATATTTGTAGTCAACACGATTGTAGCGTATAGTTCTGGGCGTGGTCCTGATTTTTGGAGATTACAGTACAGTACACCATGCAATTACCGGATCCAGGGAGTTTTGTTTTTTAGCTTCTGCCCAAATCACGAATCCGTTAAGAAATAACTCACATTGTTGCAGACTTCATTCACTTCCATCAATTTATAGGAGCTGCTAAAGAAGTACATTGTCTATGCAAAGGATCGAGTTCATCCGAAATTAAATCAGATGGACCAGGACAAGGTCGCTAAGGCGTACGCGGACCTGCGTCGTGAATCTATGGCCACGGGCAGCATTCCAATCACCGTGCGTCACATCGAGTCTGTCGTCCGCCTTTCCGAAGCTCATGCACGCATGCACCTTCGGGAATATGTGAATGAAGACGATGTCAATGTTGCCCTCCGAATTGTTCTCGAGTCTTTTGTGTCGACCCAGAAATACGGTATCATGAAGACTATGAGACAGGTTAGCCTACTCTTGCGGCTGTTCACCTAATCTGTCTTGGGTCGGCACCACATCAATGGACGCGTCTGTGTGAAAGCCTGTTGGGATGCTACAATTTTCGAAGCATTCAAAAGGCAATCGTTAACTAGAGACTTCACCTAAATATAAACATATTTGCCTCCAACGCCCTCAAACAATCAAATTTTAAAACGTGTATATGGAATCAGTGATTGCCTTTGAATTCTTCTCCGTTGTAATGAGCTGTTTAGTGTCGTTCACGTGGATGCCAAACTACACTTGCCTATAAGCTGTGTAACTAAATTACAAGTTGAGTTGTTTCCACAGACTCCATTTTTGTTGAAAAATTCGAGCATTTGACCAATTTTACTATGATGCCCTATCGTGTTGCAGGCCTTTCATGCTTGAAAACTAACAATATTCTCGTTTGACTTAGAAATTTTCTCGTTTCCTGAGTTATCGTCTCGACAATCAAGAGTTGCTGCTGTTCCTGTTGAAGCAACTCGTGCATGAACGCGCCACTTTCGAGCGCTCGCGTCACGCCGACGAGCAAACGTGGCAGATCGAGGTGCCTGAGTCTGAATTAACTGATCGGGCGCGTCAGGTTAATATCCCGTCGGTGCGCGCCTTCCTCACCAGCGAGCTCTTCACTGCCCACCGTTTCACCTACGATGCTGGGCGAAAAGTGATCATACATACTATCTAGGACCTTGGTAAAGTGGCCCTTCGTTTGTTCAAACAGTAAATTTTTGAGACCCTTTGCAGTTTTTGCTGGTGGCAAAGCTTTTTTGCTTTGCATCGCACAGTGGTAGCCAACTTGAGGCTCTCAGTGTAGATCTACCTTGATGGCCGTTGTGCCGGCGTTGCGCTGTGCAAAGTCTGTTTTTCCCTGCACAGATTGCACTACCCATCGCCCTCACAACGTCCGCGGAACGCCTGAAATCTTTGTATTCCAAAATTTATTAAAGCCTGTAGTTCTCCCACATCGTCACCTTGAGTCACTGAATTTCAAAATCAGCTGTAGTCTTCTCATTTCACTCTAGCCAGTCACTTTATCAAGACCCAAACCCGGCGGTTTAGATACTTGCACTACGTGTGTGTCTTCTTTATCTCCGCTTACTGGTCGTTTTTTGTGCACATTTTAGATTTGGGTCGCCCGAGATTTTTTGAGGAAAACGCTTTCGCATTTATCAATCAGAGATTTTGTATTAGCTTTATACGTATTTATGTATACAAATTTTACTATTCTACCCCGGAAGCATTTATAAGTGCATGGTAATGTTGGAAATAAAGTCTTTGTGCGGCTTAAGTTTTGTCCTTTTTCGCTAATGATTAGGTTTCGGTTTGGGTTGGAGGTTGTGTTGGTGCTTTTGCTTTTGGTACGGATGCTACTTAAAGAATTTGAGTAAGAGGTAAATTAGTACTGGTGTTAAGCCTTTCTGCAATGCAAACAATGTACATGTGAAGTCCTTCCACATTTATACCAAGCCCTTTTATTGTTGCCACATTGGTAAGGAGCTAGTGGCCATTTGCGGGGTGCCTCTGCGCAAGATACAGGCAAGGCTCATTTCGGTACGACGTCGTGGGGTCAAGTGCATTTGCGTCGTGTAGTGCGCCCGTCACCGCCGTTTGGGCTACCCTGATACTCTGGTCTGGATGGGGAAGTTCTAATGGAGCTCGCGAAGGTGGTTCATGCCCTAGTTCTCGGACTAGCTCATTTCGAAACTTTTGATATTCTGTTTACCAAAATACATGATTTCCTTTGTGTCCTTACGTACAGCTAAATACCCAATTTACTCATTAACGGTGTTAAAGCAGTCTCTCGTAATAAAGAATGCAATTTATGAAATCAAGCACATTTGATGGGTCTTGTTATCAAAGTCGAGTACAGAATGTATTTGGAACTCCCAGACATGTGCTCTCAGGCCTGACTTGTAGTCTCTATTTGTAATGTTTCTATGGAGATTTCTTTGAACAAAATCATTTCTCTTAATGTGTGAATTTCCGCATATCATCGTTGCCACAAAATTTCAGTTACTTGTATGTGAATTCGGATGCACATGCAGGCACTTTTGCAGAATCGCTCCAAACTTTTGAATGGGTTAAGGAATCGTTGGTTACCTGAATGGCCAAATCACGCCTATTCGCTCGGTGGGCGTCATCTCGAGGAATCTGTCCATTCGGTGAGCGCAGTCACTGGGGATTACGTCAAATGATCATTCTCCTACCTGTGCTTGCTCAGGCCTCGTAATCTTGGACGCATAGGCTATTGATTAGAGTAGTGCAACTGCTACCCCTTCACTGCTCCCCCTCAGAGCAACGGAGACCTCATTTAGTAGCTCGAGGAGAATGGTTCCCCGTAACGGCACGGAGGACAAAGACAAGAGAGGCAGTAGCAGCAGGGCACCAGAAGCGATGACGATTTACTGCTTATACAACGCTAGACGCAGTTGTTGAAGAGCACACTCACAAGCCCCAGTCGCGATCAGGTGAAAATGCCTGTCGGTTGTTTTAGTGCAGAGTTCTGCGGTCAATGGTAAGCAGAGAGAAGCTGAATGGCAAAGAAAGTGGACGAATTGTCGCATGAATAGTCGCGTGGTGGTTTCCTTCCTCGGTCTGATACTTCCAGTGAAAAGACCACGACGAATCATTTGTTGCAACAGAATTCGTGGATTGTTTGTGCTGCACTCGATTAAGGCAAACGACTGATTGTCACCGAGAGGCGAACGAAGCTGCTGTGAGGATCTCACGGCAATGGCCGAGTGCCACAGCGGCGCGGTGAGTGGAGGGCAACAACTGAGATGATGCAGTGTCGACACGTTGAAAGTCACCACCAATTTAAGCATGCCTCTGTCTATTCACAAAACAACATCCTGTAATCAGACAATTCAGTTAATCTTCGTACCCCCGGATTATATGCTCACCACCTTTCCGCCTTCTTCCTTACTTCGGAGGTTTACATACCCTTAATACCTACCCGCCTACCTACATACATGCCTACCCACCTACCTGCCTCATGCTCATTCTGTACACTCAGTCAATCATTTCATCGCGCATAATGGGACCTCGATCATGTCATCTTTCAAGAGGAACCCCACAACGCTTTGCCGTGTGGCGTGCACCGTGCACTCCACGATCACGTCCCTCCTACTCCCATCTCTCTACACAATCGCCCAAGTGACATGTTTGCTTCCC